CTAATAATCGTGTGTCTAACTTTGTTTCTTCGCTCTAAATATTTTTGTTGGTAAAAATGCATACTCCACCGCTTACCTTCGTACAATTTGTTCTTTTGTTTCGAAGTTAAAGTTTTTAAGTACAGCTGTATGATTTGTTTTTTAATTAGTCTCTTGTATGCAGATGATATTTGGATCTTTTGCTTTAATAACTTGTGAAAATTCGTAATTGTTGTACAATCCGTTCAAATTCCATTATAATAAATTCGCCATTTTAATTTTGCATGTAATCCGTGTCGATTTATTCGGAGTGGAGTGCTGTGAATTATTTTCAGTGTTATTGCAGACAGTAAATTTATTAATTAAGCGAGTGCATCGTGATTTAATACAAGTATCTCTGACGTTTGGGTAAACGTCTTCAATAATGAAATTCAATCAACTTCTCGATATCATCTGTATATTCTAATTCTATATCTGTAGGGTTTTTAACTCTTTTTGTATTTTTCGAGTAGACTTTTAAATTTCGTATAGTTCTATAGCGTATTGCCTTGATTTAGTCTTTAATTGAGATTAATTTTGTATCTAATTCGTCGATTTCAGTAAGTTCAATAATTTTTCTATTGCTTGTAGGCTTAGTTTTATTAATAATAACTTTTTTAAATGTTTTACTGTTAGAGCTTTTGGTTGGTACAACTTGGAATTCACGTTGGCCAGCTGAATCAATTTCGGCTTGCGTTTCATTTGCACTGCTTACCGAAGAAGGTGCGGGTATTTTATTTCCATCGGAAGATTTTTCTACCTTTTTTCTACCTTGTAGGGACTCATTGAGAGAGAATCGTTTGCGATAATATGTAGTGCTTATTCATCATTTATATTTCTGAAATGTATATTTTCTGTTGTAGTATTAGCTTGGCTGCTTGTATTTATACAGTTTTTCGCTATATGGCCCTCGGTTTACAGAGAAAACATTTAATCACATCTATAATTGCGTAAATGAAGTAGTTTAATCTTTCGTAGATCAACTTGTAAATTTCTGGAATTTTTTTAATGTCATCGGGATTAATATAGACTTGACGTCGAAAGCTGTTTACGTGTTTATAATTGTTCTTGTTAATATCGCTTTGGTATAGTTTACTAGAGACTTATCTTGACATTCAAATCATCTAGGATAGTTTCGAATACATAGGAAGGAATGAAACATTTGAGAACGTTACTTTTTTCAAATTTGATACAAGGTCTGATAGATACTTGTTTTTGTTCGATTACTGGATACTCCTGTTTGATTGTAATCTCTTTAACCAGTTCTGGTTTCGTCAAGTATATACAAAAGCGATTGTTTAATATTCTTGAAGCAAAGAGAATGTTTTTTGATTGAACAATTTCACCTGCAGCACACGTTTAGTTGACTAAAGTTAGGTCTTCTACGTAGTATAATATGATGGCTCGCATTTAGGGTAGAGATTTTTCTGTGTAGTGGTCGAGTAACTTGAATTGATAGGATCGTTAGCTGTAAAGTCACCACCCGTGGGAAGGCTTAATTTTGCAAAACACCCAATATGCGGCACTGTTCTTTCGCGGCTTTGGTAGGTATACAGGGTCAGACCCTACAACGTTAATTGCGTAGATACTTTTCGACTGTCAATACTAGATGAGTGGGTGTAAACACGCCTACACTTGTTGATAGATCGAAGACTGAAATCACTTTATTATATTGTAAATTAAAAAATATGTTTATAACAGCAAGATTACAGAATTTACTCGCCTAATTTATACTTGTAAAAGGTACGTGCGCGACCGCGAGTGTGTGTGCGCGCGCGTGTGTGTGTATGTGTATGTATGTATGTGTGTGTGTAAAGGATGAGATAATAACATTAATTTCGATTCCGTAACAGACATCAATTAATAATGAACTAAAATAATTCTTACTTTTAAAAAATGGTCCTTTTGGGTTTTTTATTTTTTTAGAGAAGTTATTTACAATTATTTTTTTAATATTGAAGCGTAAATAAGTAAGATTAATAACCAGGTTTTCGAAATATTCTGAGGGATAATTTATTATGGTGTATTTGATGTATGAATACAGGTATCAAGACATTAGCTAAGTTAGAATTATCTACATTTATATTATTTCATTCTATTTAAATGTTATTAAGAATCTATAGTTGAGTCAGAGTAGCATTCGCAAGCTAACAATCTATTTACGGCTGGAGAACGGATTTTCGATCGAAAAGCTCATAAACTGCGAAAGCTTCAATTATCCGCGTGTACATCATCGGCAGCAGCATTAGTAGACAGCACAAAAGCCAAGCCATCGGCTGATACACCTGCAAATTATCAGTTAAGCGGGCCAAAGAGGAGACAGCAGCAGCGAGAGTTTACTTGGCCAGCTAATAACTTGGAGATGTGCGTGAGTTGGTTTGAGCGAGATAAGCTCGCTCCTCCCTCGGTTCGTCCAGTAAACTTGACAAATCGGACTAACGGGACTAATCGTCTCATAAGCGACATTCTCGCTGGACCTTCGCCAATTGAAGATTTATCCTCGGCCATTGTCTCGCGAGATCCGCTCGCTTTCGCCCCGTGAGGCACATTACCCTCTTCGCTTTTCCCTACACTTTGGTCTCTGTGGGCCTCGCTATATAACACCTTTTTGTTTTTGTTCACAACAACACTTCAAAGCTTGTTGATTTGTTAAACGTTCGCCTGCTCCTCTACTGTAGTATTGCATGTAGTTATTGCATGACATATAGTTTACGTCTCACTGACTATATTCAAATATATATTTTTCTGATTTATAATCAAGTGATAATAACTTCATCCCGTACGTTATTTATTAAAATAATTCCTAGTATTCAATTTTCAAAATTAATTATTGTTGAGAAAGTGAAGCTATAATCGGAGTAAAATCTATTGATACATATCGCCGGTAAACTCCAATAATTGTATAATTTCATTTAATTTCACCCAGATGTATCGTTTGCTTTCTCTCTGATACAAAATTAATTTTGGAATTCTAAGTAGTACATTTAAAATAAATTAATGTCTCGGTTCGATTTTAATATAAGACCAAATTTTAATATTATTTCATTGACCAGAAGTAACCCTTCTGATCTCGTCGAGTTTCCGCAGACGAAAACTCTGATAGATTTCTTACCACTCGACTCTTTCTATCAGAAGCCGGAAAGCCATACAGAAACCACAGAGAGAGAGTGAGAGAGAGAGAGAGAGATAGAATATATAAAGCCAACATCCCTTTAAGAACTGCAAAAAGCAAAATCTCGAAGGAAGGATGGTAACAATGTGTATAACCCGAAGCGAAAGATAAGAAAGTGTGGAATAGGTCGAATACAGCCAGTATCCCACGATAAGAAGAAGAGGACGAAAAAAAAGAAGTGGAAAAAAGCGACGTGGACGTAGATTGAAGAAGAAAGCGTTGCCCGCCAGTCGGGCCTTAATCGCTCTCGCGAAGCGGAATAATCCAGCTTGCGCGCCGCCGAGAAAAAAGCTTGAAAGCTCACCGTGATGGATAATTTGGCCGGTACGGCACAGAGGCTCGCTCGCGCTCACGGCGATGCATTAACCTTCGCCGATGACGCCGTGGAATTAGGGATTCCGTTTTATGAGGCGCCCTGGCCTCTGCTTTCGAGCCGCCACTATGTAAGCTTTATACTATCCCCCGATGTAATATATTGAAAGAGGCAGCTTCTACCGAGACTAAGGGACCATGCACCGCGAATCGACTGCTAGCGTACAGCGTATCAAAAGCTTGGTATAACAAATTTGAAACGTTCGACTTCCTTTGAAAAAAAAAACGAATTAAGGTTAATAACCGAACGTTATTTCTAATTAAGTCCGCAAACGCCATCACAAATTTCATTTGCGCTAATTAGCTTGAGTAACTGTAGCGAGGATCGTGCAAAATTGTCAATATCTTCCCGCTGATTCATTGAGCAGTCAAAAGGTAATGAAGTGTAAATTACAAGGGTACCACAACCGTCAAAGTGATACATTTCAATACCTACGGCTCAAAAGATAAATTGGAAAGTACTTACTTACGTATTGATGTATTGATATTGTACAATAAATTAAATTGAGTTATAAGCACACCTTGTGATGTACGTGAACTTGACTCAGCACTTTTGGATTAAGGTATGTCTTGGAGAAATTATTGAATTGTGCGTAGCATTCATCGCATAAGTGCTCGCTTGCACTCAAATAGTATGCTGATTCGACAGATTACTATTTCAAGAAGACTTTATATCATAGAAGCAATTTCCCAGCAAATTTTATTGGATTTTGCAGAACTGCTTCGAGTATTTCATCTAGATATGAACTACCATCAACTAACCATGATGTAGGCGTGAGATATTACGATAATGTTCCATTCATGAATTTACATTACTTAGTAGATTGGTGGTATCATTACATTAATAACAAATTAGCCGTTAATTGCTTATATACAGAGTAACAAACGCTAGATTTTCTACTTAATTAAATATGTAATCCAAGTGCTCAAAGCAAATGTAGTTCGTACAAACCGTTATTACAATCCTACAACGTTCTCCCCGGACTAATACAAAGTTTCTCTGAACATGAATCAAACTTGCATAATAAACATGGACCATATTCTATCAATTAACCAGACTATTAGGAATATTCGTGTCTCCAAAATTGAACAATGGAATTATAGACTGCCAGAGTGGATTAATCTTTGTTACATAAAATTTTTTTTCTTACTTATTGATAAAGATTTTCCGCTGACCAATTGGAAAATAAAAAAAAATCTTTTATCAACCGAAGTATATAAATTAAAATCGGCACAAAGAACTTAAAACTACTATAAAATAGCTATCGAGTGTTATCGCAATCAAACAGTAAAATTGAAACCATCAATCGAAAACTCATCAGTGTAAAAAACTCAGTAATAAAACTGTGAGAAAATGTCCTTCTTTCTATGCCTTGTCAATAAAAATAGCAAATTGATGTAATAGAAAAAATATCGAATGAACGGTAATAATGATTACCTGAAAGTCGAACTTCTCAAATTCGGCCTGAGCGTCGATATCCGTATCCCTGGGAGCGATGTGAGGACAAGTATCCGGTGCAACTTGTCCATCCGGGGGTTCGCTATAATCCGGCAAGGCGGAGGTAAGCACACGCTCGAATGGTGCAACCTCGGCGATGATGCCAGCCGAGCCACCGGGTGAGTTTTGCGTTTGACTCACGTAGTAGAGGCAAAGCAACACCGATAGCAGGATCGCGCACAGCACGAGCATGCGGCCCGAGCCGCGTCTCAGCAGTTTGTACATCTTGTCGAGCGTTGCGCTGCCCAGTTTTGCCAGTGTTGGATTCACGCTATGTATTGACGTAGGCGTGTATGTGCGTCGTACTTTCGGCTTTAGCGCTGCCTCATGTTACGAGCCACGCGGGCCCAGGCTTTGTCTCTTCCTGCTGCACTTTCACGACCTGCCGTCGTCCGTCGACTTCATCAGGCGACCCTTCTACTTAGATGGTCTCTCTGTAACACGAGATATCCTTTCATTATTTTAGAGTTCCAGCGGGAAGTACTAATTTAACTTTGAGTGTGTATTTACAAGCAAGCAATTAATCGTATATTTGTATAGTTTTGAAAAATTGCTAACTTCAGATTCATATTCACTTATAAAATTTAGCGGCAAAATGAAATTGAAAAATTAATTATCAATCACTCACGTTGTGACAAGGACAATAAAACTTCTAACTGTAATTGAGGTATTATAACGATAAGTTATCTTGATAGATCTGTAGTTAGTTTACTATTCTCAACAATCGCTTTTCTATTAAACTTGTTTTGTAAATCTACTACGATAACGGACTAAAGCTCACGCTCTGGTAGGCTTGTTTTTTAAACAAAGTCAGAAATTTATTGAAACTATTCGTTGTTTTGATCTAATATTTTAAATTATATAAAATGAGTGAATGCTTCCCTGATTCACTCTTTCATATATTGAACAACTGTAAGCTAAAGTTAATTAATGAAAAAAAAAATAACACCAGAGGTGAATGCATAGACGCCAATGTGTACTCGTAATAATGACATTTAGGATACTCAAGGCGGTTTCGCTTGAGCAAGCTTCATCTATTAGAATGTATGCCACTGCGGCTGCAGCGACCTATGCATTATGAAGGCTGCTCGGCTTATCCAACTTGATTAAATGTCCACGAAAATTATGACTGACGGTTTCGATTCGGAAGTATCCTATTAGGCTTTGCTTAAACGTCAAGTTATTCCTAGCTGTATACTAAGTTATGATATCCATTCCAGTAATAGTAGTTTTTATCATTTACGAGATAGAGTTAAATATATAAATAAATTTGTCGCACCGCAGGAAATGAAGCTGTCTATTTCCCGCGAATGGATTGAAAACATCGTTATCCAGTTGTAAAAATACACCGTGGAGAAGAAATTTGTAGTATTTGAGAAAATACAGCGTCCAATTTGAGAACCACAAATTTGATCGATATTATTACTCGAAATAGCAAGTAATGATTCCACGCAAAAGTCCAAATTCTATTAAAAATAAGCAAAGTCCAACTAATTAATCGTAGTATAATAGAGCAATGAATATATTAGATATGAAATAGACTTGACCGAGTAAGTGAAAATGTTGAATATTTGATGAGGCTACTCGTCTTTTGTTGCGCTTGATATTCTTATGAATCCGCGGTCCGGACAATTTTCAACTTTCACATTTCCGTTCGAGCAATAAAAATCCTTTCCGTTTGCAGAGCCATTTATTTTCATTATCATTTTTCATCCGCGTTATACTCTACTCCTCGAGGCGGCTACATCGTGTGGGAAGCGACAACGAGAGAAGACAGTTTCGCCTTGATTTTGCCTTGTGCACTGCACTGCTGGGCGACGCTCATGCGCCTGACTTTATCTCTTATTTTCCACCTTGCGCAACGCCAGCTGGCTCGTCCCTTGTCTTTTCTTCCGCTCTCATCTATATAGACGACGGGCGCCAGCTCACACGTACATGCAGCTTGCAAGCTCGCTCGCGCGCTTTCCGGAGATTGGATTTTAATTTAACATTAATGCGCGTGAAAACCAGTCATTTGAAAACCGCGCACGCCAGCATTCGAGATAGCAAAACTTGATTACCTGCAGCACGTTTGATTACGTCTCTCGTTGTTTTTTTATTCTCTCACTCTTCCTTTTTTCTTCGTTCAGAGCATGAATATTGAACGCTACCACGTCCAGGAGGTTCTGAATAATTTAGCGGCTCCGGTTCCGGGGGTGAGAATTTAAGCTTGTTTATATCGAGTGAGAATCGAGTTTAAATCTCGGCGCTGATTTGAATAAATTCATTTTAATCGAGTCCGCGCATAGCTTGACCCACTTCCAACGCAGTCAACTCAATAAAATGAACTTCTTTAGCTTCACCCTCGTTTGAATTTTCCAATAAGGGCCAGCTGCTACTTTTTTACGTCTTTGCCTTTCAAGTAAGAGCTATGAAGATCGGAGATCATGCTCTATTACAAAATCGAAAGTCGTTCTAATCGTAAAAAGGCATTTTAATTCTCGGATACCCGGCTGCCGCAAAAACAGAAATACATTCAGTGTGGAAAATTTTATTCAACCGTTAAATAAAATTGCATTTTTCATTTCTCATTTCTTTTCCCTTCAATCAAAGCCATTCACAACGAGAAATGTTCATTTAATCATGGAAAAACTTCGATTAGAGCTTGCACTATATAAAACTCGAGATTTGCCGGATTTTAAGTGAAGTGATTGCGCAGTCACCTCTCTCTTAGGGTCGACGTTATCTCTCAACCAGAGCTTTTCGTGACGACTCGCCGCTGCAGTATACATCACTCGGACTCGACAAGCTTGCTGCTGCATTTAGCTCGATTCACATCTCCTATATATCGAATTCGTGCCTAGCTACTATTAATCCAATCTTATTTTTCTTTGCATTAAAGTTCTTTCATATGCGTTCCTTTATTATTTTATTAAAAAGTAAATAAATCCATGTTCGTTTTAATGCATTTCCATCATTTCAACAGCCGTAAAAAAGTAGAGTACAAGCTAGAACCGCAATGAATAAAAAAAGCAACAAGTTTTCTACTGCTCGAAGGAAGGGTAATTATTATTAACAGTTCCCCGAAATTCTTATATCATTGCAAAATAACGAAATGATGCTCTATCACTTGGTTTGCTCCATCAACGTCGATCTCGCAACTCTTCTTTATTCAATGTCTTGACTTTTTTTCATAATTTGCTCTCTCTCTCGCGCGCTCGCAGAACGAACGTGTCGAGAGTACTTATTACGATTCGTTCGCGGCGTCTGAGTGGCATCTCAACTGGGCAGGGTGAGGAGAAAAAAGCTCTCGAAAGCTTCAGCTAGTAGTGGAAGACCGTTCTGCCCAATGAAGCTCGCTCTTACTCGACTCGCTACTCCTTAATTCGATTTCCGTTGTGCGCGAGCCGGCCTTAATTTTCAACCTGTACCCACGCGTTCGTGCAAAAAATTGTCCCGGATATATGCCTTCTGCCATCTTATTTACGTTGCGCCAATCAACAAAATGATTGGTATTACCCAAGGGCGCATTAAAGAACAGTTCTTCACTATTAAAGAACAGTTCTTTCCTTTATATGACGAAAACTAGAAAGGAAGCTAGTACTTAACAAGAAAGGTCCAGTCGTGATTACTGGTGCAATCGAAGAGTGCAAAGTCAATGATCGGGGAGGGCCAAGCGTTACGTTGACATAAGTCCGAAGAGCTTGAGTGAGTGAGTTTGTCAAATAGGAAGAAAGGAGAGTAGAGAAGTGAGCGGCATTAATCCGACATAGCAGCTGCTCTCGCAGAGATTAATTCGAAGCCGGAAAGTTTGGGCTAATGAGCCGGCGACCTAGGCCTCGCCCAAGCTCCTCGCGCGGCAGCACTCTAATGAGAATTTACAATTTGTCAGCAAGCGCGCCGCTACTCTTCGCTATAAAACTCTCAAGACGTTTGTACAAGCTCGAAAGGAGAATGCACAGCCGAGTGTATATACCGTGCGGTTCAACTACTGAGCGTGAGAGCGCCGTTTATTTTCGGCGAAACTCGACGACGACAACGACGACGACGACGACTCGAGGTCCGGTTTTTCAAGTTAACGCGCTGGGCTTGATTTTAATGGAGAGGATTAAGTAATGAGCGAGCCGAGCGCGCCTGCGTGTTTTTTTAGCTCTCGCTTGCGGGGAACTTCTTGACTTTCTCTCTCTCTTCTTCCTCTCGCGCCGAATATTGACTTTACGTTTATTAGTTTCCAACTTTTCCGTCTCTGTTATTTCATTCATTTAGTTCATGAATAATGTTTGATTGTTAGTACGTACAGGACGAGAAACTTCATTATTATTGTTTCTGCACTCCAAACTGTGCGAGTCGCGTGGTATACAGGTAAGACGAAACAAACATAGATCAATCAAAATACTTCCACGCGATAAGAAGAGCATGAAGTAGAAGAGTTGGCTGACTTTCACTTGCCCAAAACAAGCATTGAGTGTTCATCCAAGCGCCAAAATTTCAGAAAGTAGCCCAACAAGTGCGACACATCGTCGCTGCTGGAAAGTCAGGAAGAAGCGACACGCGACGCGGAGCATACGCAGACGTGCATGCGTGCGTCTACGTGTCTGCGTGCGTCAAGAAAGTTTACCGTGCAACCTGGAACTGCCGCAGCGTTGAAGTTTTCGACAAAATAAAAAATAGACGCGACCGCGAATACATTTGCCTTTTAATTTCCGGAGCCACGCTGTGTGCGTTTATTTTAGATATATCTGTTTATTTTTGATTTTACACACGCAATGCGGGCACCTCTTGTCAGAGGAAGCCGGTTCTCTCATTTTTTCAAACTCCACGGGAGACGCCAAGTCGGACGAAACGAAATTGGCGTGTGTTTGTTTTTTTTTTCTTTTTTTTTTTTTATTAGCGAGATGTTTCTTGCGTACACAATAGATCTGCGTCCTAAGCAAAAAAGGCGATTCTCCTGTATTTGCTCGATAGAAATTGATTCCAACTTTTTCCATCAACTTTTTCTGACTATTCGCGCGTGGCAGTAAACTCGCGATGGATTTTTTTCTTTATAGAGACTGTATTTTTTTTGTTGGCTTTTTAAGGTCATCGACGAATCGAATAATTCCTGAAATTTGTTATTGGTGGTGAAATTGATTTGCAGCGAAACAAATTACTAGTAATAACACTAATGAGATAACGAGACTACACATCACCGTGAAATGAAGGTCAATTTACATCGCGTTTTCATTGTCTGGATTAACGAATAACCTTGTAAAAAATTCTTCGAACATTTATTCATATAATTAGTAGAATGATCGTTAAAGCTTCATTTAAAAAATTGTCTGAAACATAAATATCAAGATCGACTATAAAGTCGTACGAATCGACGATAACTTCAAAGATCATTTCCTGTCTTATTGCAGAGCCGTAAAAAGTTTGTCCCAAGGAGAAATAAATAAATTGAAGGGTCACAGCAATAACTCCCCAGGTTGAACATATAGAGTCCTCGAAAGGACATGGAACCGTAGGGCGTCGACTTTAGTCGAAAGTTCAAACGAAAAGATAGATACGCCGACGTCGTCGTATCGCCTTAAATAATTCAGCAGAGCGTCCTTTTGCAGAGCGAGACCAGCAGGAAAACTAAACGCTAGGTCCTGCACACTCTAACACGCATTTATAATGCACGGATTACGCGTAAAGCTTGTGTGCATGTAGTCGCGAAGGCACGTCTGCAGTTTCTTTGAAGCTATCAATCAACTTGCCAACTTCTATCCGTTTCAGCACCTTCGCATCGAAAAGCTTTTGATGTTTAATTGCGTGCTCTTTTTTATTTGCTCTTTTTACACTTTGCTAATTACGCTTTTATAGCCTGCTTTCTTTTGAGAGACTTCCAGCGATCAAGTTAGGATAATTCAATTAGTAACTTCGAAAAAGAATTCAGTGTATTTCAGGAGTCTTTCCCAACAATGATCCAATCGAGTAGTAGTTCATAAAAATCCCGTCCATACATTGTTTTAATTTCTTACAATTAGAATGGCTTTTTTCATGAATGATTCAAAATTTTAAGAATCGATCATTTTTTGAGGCTAATATTTATATGTATCTTACTGGAAGATACTGTAAAATCTATCAAATTACATATTTATTTCCCGTGAAATGATACCTATATTTTACACAATCTATCTGTTATTTATAATTCGATATTTGAATCAGAAAACGAAATTAACCAGTACAAATAATAGATTTCTGAAATATAATTTTTCAAAATAAAATTGGATTATTCACGATGAATGAAAAATGAATTTTATTTTCTGCGCGTATAAATTGGAAACTCGCTTACGAAATATAAAATATTTTTCTTTCCATTATGACGTTGATAAATTTGGAAGAAGCTTTAATGCTGCTTTAACTGACAAATGTTCCCGTTTTGAAATATTTAAACGAAGGTTTGCGGTTTTCAGCTTTTATCCGATATTCCCTGATAGCAAGTACTTCTTTTATATTTTTTCAAAAAGTTTTTTCATCTCTGTCATCTCGTGACTAAGAACCTCAAGCGACAACTCAGTTCAGTCTCTCGACTAGCTTTTCATTAGTCTAAATAAGAATAATTACGAATAATGAGTCATTACGCGAACACGTGCAGGGATCATCTTACTGCTCTCCTCTCTAACAAGTTTCAAGAAGTAAACACGAACGCAAAAACCAGAACCGAGTGCACAAGGAGCAAGAAAAAGCTCCGAGTATAATTATTTTCTTGATCTTACTTGTGTGTCACGGTGTCTTATGCAAAACAGGCGCCACGTGAATTTTTGAAATCTTTGCGTGTTGCAGATTGAAGCTGATGTACACGAGAGTATGTAGGAAATCTCACTGGAGTTGGCAGTTTAAAATTTCAACGAAGCTCGCTGCCTTCACTATATATTACGTCGAGAACATGACACTGACACCGCGTTGTAAGTTGCAGAAACTACGGGCATGTGCACTTGACTTTCTAGAGTTCGATGAGGAAAAGATCACTTATTAAGAGGAAAGAAAACTCATGTGTTACAGATTAATCACTTGAACGTTAGAATGAAAAAGAAAAGGAAGGAACTCAACGAAAAATTCACAGGATACGTCGCGCGAACGGTGCAACAACGAAATGCTCTGTGAAATGCCGACAACACAGCTGACGTCTAGCGTGTAGCGACAGTGCAAAGGAGCCGGCAAATAGGCAGCCGGTCGCAACCGTGAACCACGCCGTACTGCTTGTGGACAGTCGGAGCAGGAGAGAGCTGTCTAGACGTACTTACGTGACGCGTGCGCTGCCGTCGCGCCGCGTCGGCTAGAGAGCTCAGCAGCGCGCATGTGCCAATAATCCGCGTACGCACCTTTATATACACGCATCTCCATGGCACCCCTCTATACGTACCCATTATTTACTTTTCTTCTGATACCCTGCCTGCTCGTATACATCACGTCACTCGTCTTTGTGTGCGCGAATGGGCATGACGTAATACGACTTTTAATGCACGTTGCATCGCGCGATCCGAGCTACATTATACGCTTCATTAGGTCAGCAGTGTAAAGATTCCGGTAGATAAGTTCATAAGTTGACCACTGCTATTCATATCACTGCGGTTCAATTCTAAAAATGAGTTATATACGCTAAATATGTTATTTTTTGAGTAATTATTACAAACGTTGAAGACAGATATTAATTCAGTGGCGCTCGATGCAAACGCTTTGCACCGCAGTTTTCTAAACGTACATTTAAAATATTCGATGGGCCCTTCGAAACGAGACATCGATCCGAGTTGTACACGTTTACACTGGTTACACGATGCCTCGTCCCCATGCCTAGTTAATGTGCAAAATAGCCAGTTGAGCGAAAAACTTGGTTAAAGCTAAGTCACACGTAGGTACAAAGCGTATCGTAAAGTTTTCATCCCCGGATATTCCGGGGGAGCGTGTTCGCACATGTATGCGACGTAATATCCCCTCGCGCGCAAGAAGCTTTTCGGGCTAACGCGCGTGCACGCATGCAATGCAGAGGAATTGCGGCGGTGGCCACTGGTCTGGAAGGGAATCGCTACAGCGCGGAATTCCCGCGGAACTTTAGGGACTTCCGCCAATTTTGTGGAAGCTCGGCTCTCTCGCAAAGTTCATAAGAATTTTCAGGATCTCTGATAGATCTGTTGCCGCGAATTCAGATCGAATCTGGAAAAGTTACCATTTCAGTTTCGCAATTTCTTCGTATCTATTTTTTTTTTCAATGCTTTTTAAATTTGCTACGTAAAAATCGTTAACGACCTCGCTGAATCAACGAATGATAAAGATTGCGCATTGTAGCGTACACCGATCATTTTTTGCAAAAAAATACTTTTTCCATCGGCATAGGTAAAATTATAATTGTTATTAAATTTATTATATCTATGTTGCTGACCAACTGGTAGCACCATAAGCATCAATGATACTTACAGTGGCACCAGCAACTCTTGTGTCGATTCAAGCAACACTTACAATTTTCACTGATAAACTATATCAAGGTCTTTAAAAGTTACATTGTACTGACATTCAGTAAGAGCAAACATTGTAAGTTTATAATATGAACTTTATAAGCATGCTGTATCTGAAGAGATAACATTTTTCTCTTCTTTCGCCTTCTAACAATATACATCCAATGCCGCATGTGAATATCAACTTTTTGTATTTAGATGATTTACTCTTTAGTCGTTTCCAAATTCTATGATTTGTATAAGTGTCTAATTGTAAAAGTGTCAGCATTTTCCAAAAAAACTCATTATAAATTCCGAAGAAATTTAAATTTGCCAATGTTTTTTTTTGGTAATTGGATATGAACTGATTTCAATTAACTTGTCAGTTATGCACGGAATGCAAAAAATGAATTGGACGTTGCGATAATCAAGGGGACAATGTAATTGAATTCCCAACTTATGATGAATCGATTTAACCAATTAAATAATACTTCGATTTTACCATTTTATTCTAAAACGTAAGATATTATAAAGCTTCGTGGACTATCAATTTAAATAGTAATGCAAGAACTTGCGACTTGTAAGCTTCGTTTAGAAAACAATTTTCACTCACCGGTCCGTTCCAGATTTTCTGCACAACTCGCAATTAAATATTATTAAACAAGATCCGTACGTAGATACTAGAACTGTACGAAGAAAGAAGAGGACAACTTGTGCCATCGTGTCTACTTGAACCTCTGTTATACCCCCTCTACTAGTATTTTACTTATCATCATATAATACAAGTTTAAATTTTTGCTAACGGACTAGTCAATGCAGCAGCATAATGTTAAATCGTTACTCAACATAAGTTTACTGTGCATTTTCCTAGTGTGCGTTTCAAATTATCGAAATAAATTTTTTATTTTTTACGTAGACTTTTATTTATTTGATGGCAGTATAAGTGAAAGCATAAAGTTTTTGGAAAGTATAAATTCAAGATAAGATACTCCTGCAATATTAACGTTCTCATAATACACAAAGTTCATCAAATAACCGTACTTATTGCAACATGTAACAGTTGATTACAAGCATAAAATCTTAATGTGAAGTCCGCTGTAATGTTTTAATGAAACGATGATAGAACTTAACGATTTTAATAAGGTTTCACGAGCAATTGAAATACTAACAAAGGTACACTAACATTTCTTTTATTTCTTTTTGACTCGACTTTTTATTTATGTATACATTCTAGTTCAAATAAATAAAAGTACCTTCATAATTTCGAGTTATCTGTTTTCGAAGTTTAAATAAAATATGTACTTTTGAATTCCAAGCATTCACAATGTTTTTTCACTCACAATCAAATTTGACAAGAGCAACATTTCATTTAATTTGAGCTTCAAAGAGAAGTAACTCGAAGTCGTGAAAACAGACTTAGCCGGTTGTGCTGAGAAGTTACAGATTTATTTGGAAACATTTCTATTTAGAAGTACATGCAGTTAGCGTTTTATAAAAAACGAATTTAAAAATTAAACGAAAATAATATACGTATAGATTCAAATGGTAATAATTTTAATAATCCGATAACAAATATGAAATTGATCTGAAAATGTATATATAGTTCAAAATATATTTTACAATGGACAAAAAAATGAAGCGCATAAAACTCGTACCTAGCTGAAAAAATGAGAGTATAAAATTGAAATATTTCTCACATAAATGTACATAATAATCTATAAGATATAGAATGTATTTACCAAGACTATTTATAAAAGTTATACGATACGGATGTGTCACACAGTCATCCATTATTTTTCCATACGTCGCATAGTCACCCCCTAGTCTAACGTTAATCCCCCTACGCATTCCCTACACATCGCTACTATGTCTTTAAAACTATTACTTCATTCCACACCATGACTACACAGAATTCATCCCTTATTTCTCTTCTTCTCGTGCGACGAAGCTTCGTATCTTAGCGACGTATGCTGTTACCCTCCTTCAATAATCTGATGAGCTTTTCAATTTCTATAAGAAGCTTGGCTACCAGCGATCGAAGTGCAATTAGTCCGATTGAAAATCGCACTCCACTCTCTTTTTTTGTACGTCCATTTCTTCGTTCACACTGCAGATTTTATTTTGATCCCTTTTGCGGGCCGTACGCTCGCGATCTATGGAACATACCGTGTGGCTCTTTTGATCTCACAGCTGCGCTCGCGTTTGTTTTCAGAGGTATCAATCAGTCATATGCAATGCTCCCCCGAGCTTCTAGAGTTATCTATGTAGCTCACTGTATTTTTTATACAGACATACTTTTGCGGTGGTGGCCAAAGCGAAAATACCGCAAAACGCTTTGCGGTTGAGATATTGAAATACCGCATTGTATTTTTTTTAGGATCAAACAGTAGTTCGCTTCATTTGTGCTTGCGTTTGTTTAAAAATTTGTTATTCTTTTCTTAATCTTTACTTGCTGTAGTGTACATTCTGTAATTATGAAATTAATATAAAAATGTTAACATTACTGATTCAATGCTCAATCATGAATTTTAATACATTCTTTTCTACGATCGTAAATTTGTTTTATTTTTTTTATTTATTTTTTTTCATTTACTCAGATGAAAATTTGATAAAACATCGAATTCTGAAGGAATTGTCCTTTTTCTTGAATGCTCTAAAACGCCCATTAATACATAAAAGAAAATCATGAATAAGCTATATTGAGTCATACAGTAGCGAATTTGTTAATTTTTAATTTATCCACTGTAGTTAAATTGCATGTTTCGCTGAAAAATTAAGATTTATTCAGTGTTACTGTTATTAGCACCTAATGCTTCGAGTGTGCATTGATATTACTCCCATTCGGTGGAAGAAAATTGTGTTAATTAGGGCTTGATTGAGTATTGATTACTCTATTTTGACTCAGAAACGACTGAGTGGAGTATTTCGAGTAACTGACAGCAGGAATAGCACAGACACAGGCATGCTATATATTTGTGCAATAAAACAATTGAAAACAACAATAAACGACAACTTGAGATATAAATAGTTTTTTCAAAGTTCTTGATAAAATATTTAAGAACAGAGTTCACCCTCGCACAGCTAATTGCGGAAATGTTCCGCTGATGTGTGCGTGCGTATGTGTAAATACATACGCGATCGACGCACTTGCGTAAGAATTTATTACCCGGTGGAATATGGGCGTGTACACCTCCCCCAGGAACGAATTTCGTTTGAAGTATACGCGCGCACCGCAGAGCCTCGCTTCGCTACTGTTTACCCTAGATTTTTCACCGAGCGAAGAGGGCTGCCGATTCACGGGGTCAATATTCGCTCAACCAAAAAAGCCCCGCAGGCTGTATGGCGATTTCGCAAGGCGCGAGCCTCGCTCCGATCTCTCACGCGCCCATGTGCATACGAACTTGCACCGTGCCGCTGTGCAGCCTCGAAATTAATTGCGTATCCCCGCGCGAGCCGGCTGTTGTTTGTCTCGCGTATCCACTCTGCGCGAGCGCGAGGTCGCGTGCAGATGCGAGGCTCGCGTTCTCTTGTCAAACTGAGATCAAGGCAAATGAAAAAGTTGGCTTGCTCATTTATAAATTTTGCGCTAGCAATTAATATGGTCTACCAAGCGGATAGCTTTCAGCGCGGCACTAAAGCAACTAAAGCAAGTGAAACACGGAAAATAACATGGTAAAAGTTCGATTAAACAAGAGCAAGCAGCAGCAGTAAGACTGGATGGGGGAAATTTATATATCGGTGGCTAGCCA